CCTTTGTGGTGGGAAGCGTGGGCTGCCTCCGCATGTGCTGGGAAGCTAAGGAGCCACGAGCCCATCGCTGACCGAGAGAACCCCTTTAGCAAGGGAAAAGAATGTCTTCCAGTGCGTGTTTATGTGCAAACTGGAGAGATCAGGAGAAATTCTACGGAGGGAATCAGGGCCTGGAGATAGGGCGGATTCACTGGCGGATTCAGTTGATTCCTTTTCCCCATCTCCAGATTACTTGGGGGGGCTGTAGACTGATAGAGGGGCCCAACAGTCGATTGGCGACACCAAAGGAGACACCAAACGAAGGTTCCAAAGGATGCAACACCATCCGCAGGTACCACGTAATTCCCGCCCCCTGCCGATCGTTCCATGCCTTCACTTTCACTCTCTGATTCGGATTCTGACCTAGGCGTTGGAGAATGTGCGTCTTCAGAGATCTTGGCACCAAACATCTTCAAGACCCTGGGCTTCCTGAGCTCCTATGAAGACCCAATTCTGGAGGCAATGCTGATCTCGCCTCGCCTGAAAAAGGACCGAATTTGTACCCAATCTCGGAGTGACAAAGATGTGTTGTCGCGGTCAGCCAGGTTTGGTCCACTGGCTGGCTTCAATTACTCTCAAGGACGGAGCTTGGATTTTTGCGGCACTCATCAATCCGATCAATCTTGGGTATGACATGGTATTTCCCATTATATAACCCAAAAACCAGTGGATCATGATGGTTATGTTTCAAACTGACATCTCAAACATTGTGATCATTCCATCCCTTTTCTCCTACATCTATTTTTTCCTGGGACACACCCTACATCAATTCAACTCATGGTCCACCCCTTGGGAACACCTCCAAAAGCACAATTCGTGTGATGAAATACCACGGGATTCCCTGGCTGGAAACCGGTCTGATGCCACCATTGGAACTGAGGTCTAAGGACCCACCATGGCTGCTTTGAAGGGAACAGGAAGGACAGAAGGCCCCACATCGCTGGATAAGAAGTATAGAAACCTATTAGACATTCTGACATTTTTGCATCTGCATCAAGGCAAACAACTTGGCACTCTCACTCTGACCCTACTTCAGTAGGGCATTGCAAACTATATACCAAATTCAGTCAATCAAGGTCTGACATAGAACGTGCACTGGCAAATGTGGAACGGACAATTGACAATTGTCTTTCATAACCTATATATATATAATTCACTCACTCCTTCATCATACTTGGCTTACATCAGATTGTTCTGAATCATAAGTAACTGGTCCTTAATTGATTGATGTTTGCATAGACATAGAACACAGCCCCGAGATGTAGAGGAACATAGTCTTGTTCTACAGGCTCAGCTCCTTGTAGAGTCAAGAGCCTATATCAATGCCCATTTCTAGTGTAAATGGCAGAGTCACCCAGGAATTGAGCACTGGTATACACCTATAGAACAACAATGACAAACCAACCAATATAAGCCCAAACTTCCATGTGTCATGTTGGGTTCCAGGTATACCAAAACATCGTTCACCTTCACATGTGCATGGCCAGACATTTTCCGGGATGATAAATGCAATGACATGCATTGGGTCATGGCACCAGCAGAACTTGCTTGACCCTGGCGATTTTTACGTGGTCGTCGTTTCGGCCGCTCTGGTGGACGGCTCGGACTCAGATCCATCCCCAGATGACTCCCACCTCCTGGATGCCGCGGGGGATCTTAACATGGTCTAAGAGATGGTTGGAGATGGGCCAGGAGCCCTTTCGGGTGTCTAGACATCTCTTAAAGATTCTCCATCCAAACTGACCATCTAAGACTGTCACTCCTCATAGGTGCGCCGCCATGCCTCGCCAAAGACCGGTGAGCTACCAAGCTACCAACCATGCCAGAGTTGGTTTAAGGGAAGATCAACCAAACACCATGGTTTGAAGGGATCCATGCTTTAAAAACACACTGTATTAAGGGAACATCTACAGGAATCCATGGTTTAAACATGTTTTAACACTATTGATTTCTGCGACCTAGCGGACTGGATGGTGACCAGTTTCTGTGGATGCCACCCTCTGAAGGAGGCGATGTGTGAAAAACAAGTTGATGTAGGCGAGTTGTGAGTGTCCAGTCATACCTTCGTTTCGAAGGTGGGAGTGGATCCCTATGTGGTGGGGATATGGTGGGGATTACAACCATCCAGTAGAAGGGACGTAGCACCAGGAAATAGTCAAGGCCATCAAACCATAAATCGATCAGAACTGTGCTGCCAACGTGAAAGCGGCCAACGATTGACACTACAAATGATATTTGCCAAGGGCTCCAACCATATCCTCAGAGGTGGTTAGACCCCTCAAACCCACCCCAACCATCTTATCAGGAGGTAGGCCAGGAGCCCTAGGGTTTATATGATGATCGTCCAGCACATGGAACACCATTCACCGATCGATGCTCCGCATACAACAAATGGCACACATATCGACCATATATATGGGACTTCCCAAAGCTCCAAATCCATAAGATCTAGGATTAAGTCACACTTCGACATGCGGGAAGCCGAGTCCCACAAGAACATGTGCAACATACATGGAATGGCCTCGCAAGCAAAACTGCGATACAAACCCGTGAGGACGACCTACCAGAATTTGATGAACTTTGCAAACAGGCACACCAGCACACGGCAAAGGAAGGGGAACAAACCATGCTTGCTTGGCAATGATCTCATTGATTTAGCACAATGCCAAATGAAAGAAGAACCGACAACCCAGCAAACACAAATTGACACAAATGATCACAAATGACTACAAAAACAGAGAGAGAGAGAGGGAGAGAGAGAGAGAGAGAGAAAAAAAAAAGAGAGAGGGGGCAAATGACTTCGGAAACGGGCCAATTTCTGGACAGGGCGGAGCGACCCCTTCCTGGTTTGGGTCCTATTGGCAGGGCCCAGTGTATGATGATGGTTACGTTGCAGGCCTTGTTCATCATTGTTTAACTACTGACTGTTACAGGTAATTACGGACAAACCCAATGCACAGTATACAAAGCCTCCGCTTACTGTACATCCAATCTGCAGGACCTTCCCAGGAGTCCCTAACCTCTCTGACCGAACCGACGGGCCGATTTCTCTCAAACGAAGCAACAAAAAGGGGATCAAGTGACCGAACTTACTGGGTTCATTCAAACACCTATTGGAAGCTGCAAGCCCATATTATTCGATCGGCAACCCTGCGTGAAATCTCGCGCAAAGCGCTGGACCTTATGCCACAACTCCTCCTCAGTGGGCAAGACCTCGTGCTCTGGCCTCTCAAGGAGGGAGGTCTTGTGGACATTTTTGGAAGGAAACAAGAAGAACCACTTGGGTTTGGGGACAAAGGATTTGGATTTCAACTGGCTTACCATGCTTTACACCCCAAACGGATTTCGATTCATGAAGATCAGTGGAAAATTGGGGCCGCTGGAAGACCGGTTTCTTTGGTAAGGAGCGGGTGAGGTACACGACTGGCACTGTGAATGTCACATTGCTATGTGCCCATGCTGCAGTGATGCAACTAGGCCCTCACCGGCACTTTAAAGCGCAACGACATGTCCCGAAGAAACCAAAGAAAAGCCAAGGCAAAGTAGATATTGATTACTGATTACTGGTACTGGGGCTTCCATCCCAACAGATCGATGTACTATACCCACTAAACATGTTGATCTTCCAGTGCTCCTAGCGCATTCTAGTCTTGGCCCCTCATGAAAACCCAGAAGAATGGTTCGACGGCTTTATCATAATTGTGCTTGCCGCATATCGCATCGGAACTACTTTTGCTAGCCTGCCGAGTATCTGAACAAGCGGCGAATTACCCCGGCCAGCCAGTAGATGCAGCGAATTTGGTCAATGACGGCTGGGCGCGGTTTGTTGAAGCTTATAGAGCTGTATAATAGTATTACGAGTTATTGAAGAAGCTACTTTTGAGTCGGAACTAGAGTACAAATGTCATGTGCGTCATTTAAAGCCACATCACTGTAGCCAGATCATCTGCTTGTCAAAACCACCGACTGTCTATCCCCAACACCAACGCTGTCTGAGCGATGTTGTGATGTGAAACAAGGACATCTAGAGACTTCATCCACTGTCGCATCTGGAGTTCGTCAGACTACTCAACCAAACTCGCGCGCACTTGGTGACTCACCAACTCCATCATGGTTCGGGTGTCCCGACCCCGAAGAAAGGAAGTAGCCGAGTCAACCCAGCCAGGGCCTGGGGGTCTCCCCCCCAAAAGAAAGAGAAAGTTCACACACCCACAATATCTGTATAATTCTGATGATCTGATAATATCTGAAGTACCGTACCAGTCACTCTTTGCCCAGCTTCTCATTGTCACCACCGGAAACCGCTGGCGGGCGCCACCGCGCGGGCGCTTTCACATGAATATCGCCAACAGCTTCCGAACCCAGGCAGCAGTTTCCCGCAAGAACATGCTCACATGTTCGCCATGCCGCCGCTTCTTGTTTCCTTCAGGCAGAAGGTGTTCATGGGTTGAATCTTCCATAAATGGTGCTTTGGAAGCTATTAGCTATCTGTGGAGTGTGTATGCCGCCATGCGCAATAAGAAGTAGGCTGACCACGGATCGGGTCGATGATGCGAAGAACGAACAGCACCGGTGTTTAGCCTGCCAAATGGGTTTCCGTTTGGGGGAAACTCTGGGTGCAACACCAGTTGGAGGATCAACAAAGTAATTGATAGGTATCATGCATTGAGGACACTCCGACTCACTAACATGGAAATTGAAAAAACAAACACCAGTTTGTAGAGGACAAATTGTCTTCCCAGGGGCCATGTTCCATCATGTTCCACTTCCATGTGATGTGTTCGTATGGCACAGGTCATCATATTTCGACCGTTTTTACCCGACCATCGAACTGCAAAGGAGCTACTGGACTGTCCAAAAAAAACGGGTCTTGTAGATTCCGGCATTGGGGATCACATGTCAAACACCTGTTTGTATTTTTGATGATTCCAAATTGTAGAAAGTAACAAGCAAAACACAATGCGTTCCTCTTTCTAACTTCTTCCATTTCTCTGCAGATTTTGAGGTCTCAAGGGCGACTCTGCACAAACTGCCCTTCCGCCTCGCTCGGGAGGTCGTGAACACTCGCGTCCCGGACCGTCGCAACGGTCCGTCGAGACATGCGGTCAAGACAGATTGGCATCTTTCATGCACCTGAGCCGCTCCGTGCATCCCCATTTCGAGTTGGAAGCAGGAGATCTATCTCTCCGGCTGGCCATTGGTGCTTGGGTCTAAGGAGATTACTTGGAGATTACTGAGATGCTGCTGGTTGGACCCTGCTGTGTCTGACCCCTCTACCCCTTTACTCCTGATAAACAAGGATTCCGAGAAAAATACACCAATGCATCCCTTTCAAACAAACATGCAACATTAATTAGACTGCAAATCACTGACTGTACAGTCTTGTGTAGCCGGATGATTCAAACTGATTGCTTCCAAGCCAGAAAAGCAAGTCCTCTTCATTGCAGTCATGTGCAGTTTCCTTGTCTGTTGAAACAAAGGATGACTTCAGCCCAACCACCACAAACTGTCATCCTAGTAAGGGAAATCAACAATACTGACAAAACTCGGACATCTTGAAGACCACCTGGCGTATGAAAGAAACACCTGGAACGTGAATGTGTGTCTACATTAGATATAACTACCAAAAGAGCTGAAGCGTAGGTGGTGAGAGGATGTTTTTCCTACTGAGGGTATCAACCAGCAAGCGCTTCAACGTCCATCTTGGCACGATTGTTCTCAAGGATTATGCAAAGAACCCCTTATGCGGCGATGAGCGATTGAGGCAAAGCAGCTCAACAAAAACTGAGAATTTTCAAACACAGGTTGTCCCATGTTTCCAACACAGGATCGGTGCTGCTATGTTTTCTGGATATCAGACTCAGGGTAGGATAGCCGTAATCAGTCGTTGTTTTACATTGACAATCATTTACACATATTCTCTAGAGGTCCATCACAGTGAGAGTTGCCATCACAGTCCATCACTTGAGTCTCTGGGAAAATGGCGCATGTCATGAATGAAGTGTGAACCTAGTACACATATATATATATACACGCAGTACCCAAACACTCCACATATCACCAGTTACCTATAGATTGGCGCGATTGAAAAGCCGTCAATATGTATTCGATAGATGGAGTGCTTGGTGGTTTGGGATCTGGGTGCATCTTAAAATAGGGAGACCAACACATCACCCCCCGGAAGAAGGAACATATCACATATTGGTTGGGTGTCACCCTATTAAGATACACAACGAGTACACACCCGTATTCTGCATGTTCATGACGTCATCTCAGGCCCCCCAGCCTGCTTTGGCCCGCCGCTTGGCGTTGCCTGAAAGCACCAGACGGCTGTACGCTTAGGCCACTGGTGCTTTGGCGCTTCCACAATCGGACGAGACATGCAAAGGTCAAGGGTAGCTGTGTCAATCCTTTCGTCTGAGCATGCCATTACAATGAATACAGTCATCTATGGTCAGTCTTCTGTATAAGGCATAAGGCTTGAGATGTCATTGCTTGAATCCCAGTTTCCATGTCCTGGTTGTGAAGTATGCTGAGTACTTCAGTTCCGTGACCTTTTGAACAGGTGCACGTGTTGCAGATTCTCTCGTAGATGAAGGTGTCTTCCTAGAGACATCCAAGCTCGGCAGAGATAGGATCCTGAATCACGAGAGCCTGACAAAAATCCATGGAACCAAACCAACTATGTTCCATTCTTCACTCCTGTGGTTGACAAGCTATCCCAATTGATGAGTAACAAGTGGGAACTGGTTATGGTAGGCACATGTAACTGGGCACCTTTAACTCGAATCAAGTTGTCTCAATCGAACCCAAGTTTTAGACATTTATAATATATATATATACATTACTATATTTTTACTAAATATATATTCAGGGCCAAACCAAACCTCGCAACCTCACCGATCAAAAATCACCCTCCTCATCTCCGGTGTCGCGCCTGCGCTCGGGGCGTCGTGGACCGGGACGGGGCGCTTGGACGCCTTCGCCTCCTTCGCCTCCTCCGATGGACTGGCTGTGGGTACAGCACATGGCTGTGGGTCGTTGGAACAGGTTCCCTCTAGGTTCGGGATGTCCACCTACCATTGGTGAGGGAGGTGTTGACCCACAGCCACATGAGTAGTGGACCAAATCGGCTATAATAGGAACCAGACTTGGGGAGGGTGGGAGATAAACATCCCTTTTCCACAGCCCTCTCTGAAGGCTATACAGGATCGAGGGGGGCTTCTCCCTAGCCCATCGATTATCTATATATGTCAAATCCTCTGTCTGGGAACGAAAATAAACAATATTCCCCGGAAGGGTACTCACCCATAGGGAAAATAACAATATATAACAATTCATATAACAATTCATAAGCAGAAACCAGGCTCACTTGGATCCGGTACGTCTGACCAAAGATGCGAGGGGCTAGTGGATGAACCCGAAGCTCAGTATCAGAAGTCCCTAGATCTGGAGATCTTGAAGTCTTGAACTAGCAAAATGATCTTAAACCGTAAAATTATCTAGTAAGGCTACTTCACAAATGTTTCAGTTAGCCAGAGTTCGATCTTAGCAAGTCAATATGCCAAGGCTGATGTTGTCTATTTGAACACAAAAAAAGAAATCATCTCCAACCTCTGAGACATGACCCGGTCTCCAACCTCTGACACCCTGGGCCGCTTGGACCCTCTCTCTCGCTCTCCTCGCGGGAGACGTCGAAGCAGGTGGGATCAATGGCCACAGACTTCGACACGTCAAAGGTCTTGTAGATGCCTGGCACGGGGGGCGGCACGCCCCAGGAATTGGCAACGGTACCCAACCCGCGGGTTCTGGCATGGTCCCCTGAAATCACACATGGTACAAGAGTCTGTTTATGTTTACTTGTGCCTACATACCGCATTCTGTAGCTGGGCCTTCGGCAGGTCTTGCAATCCAATTTTCTGCAACAGGAATGCCTTTTCTCTGTCAAGTTCCTTTCCAATCCAATTGGAGCTCCAGGTTGTGTTTAGTGGCTTCTGTTGCGGCCATATAAATCATGTTCCTCACAATCAAAGTCTCATTGTCTTCAAGCACAACTTTGGTGTCTTCAAATGCTACATGATGCTACTTATAGAGGCTTGTGTATGTTTCTCAAAACTTAGCATCTATGTAGCTAGTACTAATTAAATTTATGTCTCTGTCTTTCCAGCATGGTTTATCGCACTATAGTTACATGAGACGGATGTCCTCCTTGCTTTTTTTGAAACACACGCTTCGTACTCTCGGGGATGACCACGAGCTGCAGCGGACCCCTCCAAAGCGGACCCCCCAAAGCGCACACAGGAAAAGACACCCTCAAAGGGTTTTCCGCCCCAAGCTCCGGCTTGCCCAACAGTCCAACCCCATACTTGGATATGGAGCCTTCAAAGGGCTATGTCTACATCAAAACATTTCTAACAATGGCCATGATTGGTACTGACAGCTTCCCTGAAAGCCCGCCTACCAGCAAGTCTGCCAACTCAAACCTTGGCTAAATCGCGAATTTGAGACTTTGCCGGAGCTGGATGTTTGAGGATGGTGCGGAGAAACGTGCGATTTCATCAGCACATTCAACTAGAATTAAGTGCGATTGATTCAGGGAATTCTGATCACTATGTCCTCAGAAACGGTGGAATTGTCTCACAGAATTCGCATGCCAGAATGCTCTCCGCGGGTGTGAAGACTCTGAGGGTGTGAAGTTTCTGCCAAGTCTTTGGGCTTGGTTCTCACCGAGCGTCCGTTTTTCGAGTGGAGCGAACCGAAGGTCTGTAAGACCTGTACTGGCCGCTGGGTCCGGCAGATGTTGAGGTGCTGGGAGTGAGGATGGAGCTCCATACATTCCATACTCCTAAGGAGCTGAGGCAAAGGCATATGATTGCGGAGGGAGATCACAATGAACTGCGCGTTCTTCGTCCGCTCCTGCAAGTGTCAAGCGCCACCAGAGTGATGGTCATACCCTACCGCACGTCTTGTGCCACGGTGACGCAGCTGGAAACGAAACAATCAAACCAATGGAGTGGGTCCGACTTCCTTTCCCGCCCCGAAAACGGAATTACTTCGATCCAGTAGGACCTCGAGAGCCAGCTCCATACCCCCCCACGCGAGCCGATACCCCATAGAAGGACATCAATTGGAAGTCGCTTCTAACTCATTGTCATGTCCCGTCCAGACCGTCCAACCACGAAAAACGCTCTGAACCAAAAAGGTCTACGGAATCCGTAGCGAACTGGAGCGAACTAGTCGGTGGGACCGGGTCATGGCACCTTGATGTAATTGGCAATGATCGAGACGTTGCGGAAGTCTAAGGCCGCATCAATCCTCAATCGATCAATCGGCCAGTTGAAGTCAGTCGTCCAACCCCAGACCAGACGAATGGGACTGGAATAGTTATATAATGTTATATACAATATATGCATTTACCCCATAAATTGACCCTAAATGACACTCCAGTAATGGCATGTATATGCCTACATTCACCCCTGAAACCACCAAATGTAAATATGCCATAATATACATGAATGGTCTGGGAACTGTCTTCGATCCTGCAGTCGTCCGTCCGCATTCGTTTTCGAGGTATGGAGAATGGTAACACTTTTTTGAAGCCAAGGTGACCGGTGAAAGTGGTGACCGGTGCGGAAGAAACCTTTCCCCCCAACTGATACAGTTGAGGCATGTTGAGACAACGAGGTAGAAGAAAAAGGCAGGTTGAGACCACGGGGAAATGGCACTGGGTTTCTTCTGGTCCGTGATGTCTCAATTGAGAACACATTTGACCATTTGCACGGTAATCATGAATCAATGAAGAGGTTTAAACCGATGTCTTAATCTTATCCTTTTCGCGGATGCCTATAGTCTGTATATATATATATGTATATGGAAAACCCTGATCTGAAAAGCCGAGCAAGTCACATTATGAGTAAAAAATAGGGACCTGCAAAACATGTTCAACATCTTCCCTATAACTGCAGCCGTCAAATAACTATTTGAATACAGTATAGAGACGTGCTCTGGGTCTAAAACTGAAAACATCTGAACACCAATGCTTCCAAATCTACATCTAAAGCCAAAACAGCTACAAGGCAAAGTCCCAGAACTCAACTCCCTAATCAACCGCACCCAGGGTCACCAGGACTCATTACACTGCACAAGGCACAACGGGGAAGTTCAGCTGAAGGTTCGTATCGACCAAACCGGTCTGGGCGCATCCAAACCCCAGTGGTTGGGAGGATGACGTGCCCTCACTCCCTCAGTTTGCCAAGCTTTCCAAAGATCGAAAGTGGATCCAATCCGCAGTGGTTTTCCACAACTGGATCCAATCCATTCGCAAATCCCAAGGATCTCATCCATGAAATACAAAGGCGTCGGCCTCGCGACCGGGTCGCCGCGCCGTATTTGCTTTCGAAGGCATGAAGCAATGTAATGTAAGGCTTTGGGTATCCTGGTAGTTTTATATGTTCGTAATGTGTCTACCTAGAACCTGAATGACCTCTACTTTGGATCACCTACCACCCAAAACTTGAGAGAGGAGGGGGTGAACGAAAGGTAGCAGGCAATCACAAGTAACCCTGGTAGAAGTCCATGACGGCGTGAACCGGCGGAGGGGGGATTTGATCCAGGGAGGGGGGGGGGCCCCTGAAATGTAGAGGCCTACTTGTACAGGTTCCACTCCAGTGGCCTATCTAGTGTGTCCATGCTTGACTGCCATAAGGTTCAAGAGGATAAGACTCTGCGTAGAAAAAGACACTAGCGGTCTGCACCTCAACCGTGTACGCCCTAGTCACTCTTTCAGTGGTAGCGGAGCAGTGATCCTGGAAGACCCAGGTGAGCTCCTTTCCTAGGCATAGACTTGCTTTTAGGCAAACGGCCATGGATTGGATTGACGACTGGGAAGAGCCTGATGCGGATGTGGCTTATGAGCCAGCAGCCTATGTGAATAGGCATGTGAGAAGAGAACCAGCAGCTATAGCAATGACAACACAGGTCACTACAAAGGTGCCCCCATCTTATGATGGAAAGACTTCATGGTTTTCCTATGAGGATGCCATAGACGATTGGTGCGATATCACCGAGCTGGAGGATGAGAAGAGAAGACCAGCATTGAGGAACAGATTAGAAGGAGAAGCAGCTGTATACAAACGTGTTTTAGACAGAGATGCATTGAAGGCGAATGATCCACCAGGAGCTGGAGTAGATTATTTCAAACGAGTACTACGACCATATTTTGTGAAAGGAGCAACCAATGTATTCCTGTATAGGTTTATGCAATTCGTGCGCTTCAATCGCGGATCAGCTGACATGATGAAGTGGATGACAAGATTTCAGATTTTACTCCAAAGGCTTATGAGCAGTTGGATGGACATTTTGGAGCCAGTCACACAAGCACATCCTCAGGTACAAGCTCAGATGCAAGCTGATGCAGTGATGAATGGAGTAGCTCCAACGGCGGAAAGAATTCAGGAAATCATGCAGACTATCGATGGCAATCTGAGAACTTTTCATCAGAACGATTTTCCTTTGGGAGAAAATCTCATTGCCTTACTCATGCTGTCACTTGCAGATTTGTCTCAGGACCAGAGGAACACTTTGACCTCTTTGATGACTCATCGTGGTAGGGTCCTGCAGCAATACACCACAGCAGAGTTGAGGACAGTTTTCATTGAGATGTTCTGCACGACAAAGACTTCAGTAGACAATCCTTTGATGCAGCCGACAGGTGCTGGAGGTAGAAGATCATTCCTCGTGTTTGAAGAAGGAGAACTCGATGGTACATATGGCTTTTGGGCCGAAGACGAAGAAGATGGAATAGAAGGATTTCTTGATGCCCTGGACGATGTCTTTTGGGTATATGATGAACAGAATTTCTCTTGGTTCCAGAGGAGATTCCAAGGAAGAAGAGCCAGAAAAGGCAAAGGAAAAGGAAGAAGAAAAGGAGAAGGCAAAGGAAGATCAGGCCGCAGATTTTTCAGACCTCGTGGAAAAGGAAAAGGAGGAAAGAGACGAGGTAAAGGACACTATGCTGATGAGCAACCGCCAACTTATCCAGATGAGTATTTTGAGGAGAATCTTTATGAGGACACTTGGGAGTCAAACCAGGTAGCATATGATGCCATTCTTGCCGAAGATATGAATGACTATCTTCAAGGAGAACATGAAGATGCCTATGACTTTTGGCAACAGCTTGAAGAAGCATGGTTTTCCCACAAAGGAAAAGGAAAAGGCAAGAGAAAAGGCAAGAAAGGAAAAGGAAAAGATAAAGGAGATGGCAAACAAGATGCAAACTATGCAAATCAACAACAGCCACGCTCCTTGCCTGCACCTTCAAGATCTTCACAAGCATCAGGAAGCCACCAAGGTTTCTTTGCGCATTGTGTGACAACAGCAGCTGAATGAAGTCCATGACAGTGAGGTGAACTTGCTGTCAGGCATGATGACCTCATGTCAAGATGAAGCTGACTGTAAGGTCAACAATGGTGAGACGATCTTCGATGGCATGAGTGCCCCTGTGAGGTACTCTTTGTCAAAGGAGATGCTCACAAGTGCTCCTGATGACTTTGCGCTTATGAGTGCTGAGGAAGAAGTGGAAAAGACGCAGGCTATTTCATTTTGGACTGAGAATCGCTTCCCGCCAACTATTGCAATCCTGGACATTGGATGCACTAGAGCTATGGGATCAAGGCGTGCAGTCGATTATTTTTGTAACTATGTCGACAGTCACCCAAATTGTGGACTATGGTACTCTTTTGAGGCTACCAAGAGCAAGTTTTACTTTGCCAATTCTCAGAAGGCTTCTTGTTCTCAGAAACTGGTGATTTACATGTATGATCGCGCATGGGCGATCCACAATACAGAGTTCGACATAGTGGAAGGAGAAGTCCCTTTGCTTATGAGCTTGCCACAGATGAGAAACTTAGGCTTTGAACTCAGGCTGACACCTCAACATGCTTATCTGACATCGGTGCCTCTTGGTATCAAACATTTGGAGTTGAAGGTTGCAGCCAGTACTCATCTTGTTTTGGACTTCCAAGATATTGCATGGTATCTGTCTGACGTGCGTTTGCAGGCTCGGCGCGAGAAGAGTTTTTACTCTCACTTCACTCACTATGAATATGGCCATATTTCTGTTGATCACAATAGTGATGAAGATGAAGCTGAGCATGCATATCCTGTGGTTGACTACTGGGAAGTAGATGTTCACAAGAGAGAACTGACACGTCACCACAAGGATTACAGGAAGATTCTTTTCCCAGCAACTAAGTCCTGTCCTGTAGACACTGACTTGCTGGAAGACTTGCGCCTGACAATCATCAAGAAGAAAGAAGGAGGAGAAGAAAACAAGAAGCTAGATGATTGGCGCAAGGCAAAATGGAAGGACCTACAACTTGGCTATGAATGGCGTGGTAGAACAATTTTTAAGTTCAAGCCAGATGCAAAAATTCCTGATCTTAAGATTAAGAAGGCTGGCATTGAGCACCGTGGCATTGGTGATCCCGATGCAGTGGTGCGCTCCTCCTCAGAGAAGGTTCCCATTGCAAGGGACAGGGAACCAGGCTTCTCTTCAGAGAAGGAAGGTGTACCATCCAGTGCCGCGGAAAAGCCTGTGCCGCCAAAGTTTCGGTATACCTCCAAGGGTTATGATCCATTTTGGAAAGGACACAAGTTGAAACCATCTGAGCCTCCACATGATTTAAAGGGTGATGATTTTGAGGAGTATACTCCCTCAGAACCACCTGAGAGGCCAGAAGGTGAACTTGTAGAAATTCCTAAAGCATCAAAAGGACCATCAAGTGATAAACATGAACCACTTGAACCAGGTGATGGCGCTCTTGAGCCAAGGCGGATTTCAATCCCATTACCTGGTAGTGAAGTTGTTGCAATGACACCGGCATATAGGAAGATGTTGCAGAGACTGGAGGACAAGGTAGAGCTTTACAAGCTTCACGTGAAGCACTACCATATGAGTCCTACTCAGTTTCGTAGGCGTGTTTCTATGTTGAAGCTTCCTGACTCTGTTTTAGAGAAGTATGAATCAGTTGTCAGGAACTGCCGTGTTTGTAACACTTCAGTGGCACCTCCGCCACGAGCCAGAGTCTCCGGTATTAGAGCTTCATGTTTTGGTGATGTTGTTTTTGCTGATCATTGTGAGGTTGAAAACTTCACAAGAACAAGTATATCATTCTACTTGTTCTTGATGGTGCCACAAATCTTCTCTGGGCTACGGCACAGAAAGACCTCATAGATCAAACCACCATCCAAGCATTGAGGCAATGGTCTGATGAGAACAACTGTGTTCCGAAGGCCATCATAGGAGACGAAGCTTTTTTCACAGATGCTTTTGTTGAATACTACAGGTTCCATGGTATACAACAATGTCCTTGTGGGCCAAGAACTCCTTGGCCGAACCAAGCAGAGACAGCTGTACGTTTGTTCAAACGTATGTGGCATGTGATGAAAGTAGATCTGGATGACCCACGTTTTCGTGGTGTTACGGTCAGAGAAGTGATCAAGAAGGTAGTTTGGGCAAGAAATTGTCAGCTGACTATCAGTGGATATTCACCAATAGAGATAGCAACTGGAAGACGTCCACCAGATCTTTTTGACCTTGAGACCGCAAGCCCTGAGCAATTGTCAGCTAATGCAGCCGCACAAGATCGTACAAATCTGGAACTACAACGTGTGGCTTTGAGAGCTCATCAAGAAGCACGACAAGCTCAGGACCTTCGAGCAGATCTTGCAAGAAGGACTATGCCAAGTGACGGTCCCTATTTCCAAGGAGAGAAGGTTTTTATTTGGACTCAGGATTCATCAAAGTTCAAGGATAAAGGACGTTGGGTTCGTGCCACAGTACTTGGACAAGAAGGAGCTATGGTCCAAGCCAACACTGGTAAGGCAGTGGTACGTGTGAATCAGTCGAAGGTTAGACGCGATCACGATGAGTGGCATGATGTTTCCATACCGGCATTAGACGATGAGAATCCGGAGAACTTACGTGAAGATCACGAACTGTATGTTGATGCCGAATTTGGAGAACAGTCCTTTTTCTTTTGTAATGATGATCATCCTGATGTTGTTGAGTTACTTCATGGAAACAGTGGATTATCTTGGTTCCTTTCAAGGAATGGTGTTAGAGTTGCATCTCCTATGGATTTCAAGGCAGGATACAACTTTTCCACTCTGAAGGGTCAAGATGGTATTTGGCAGTAACTTGAGAGATTGCAGCCCCACAGTGATCAACAACCCTTCTCCCAAACAAAACAGAGCTTCTATTTGGTTGCTATGTTGTAATGTGATTGAGTGGCAGTTGAGAAGGAAGAAACATGTGTTTGTGACTGTTCCCAAAGGAAACAAGTTTTGTTTGTTTTTGCAGAA